ATGGATGAAGTTCTTGTCAATAGCAACCAACTGGAAAATAAACATTAGAACAATGTCCACTTACAGAAAAACAAAGCAAGAAAGCCAATCAACTAAGAAAAGAAGCGGTGCCTACAATGAGAAAAAGAAACAACAGGCAAGGTTTGGTCGTCGATGCATTTACAACTTGGGCCAGCTCATTCGTAACAACTTCTACTTTTGAGAAAAAATGTGAGCAGAACTGAGTATGAAATAAACAGAAAATGTGAAGCAGCAAAATTTCTTAAAGCAAAATCATCTACGATGTCAGTAAAGAAAATGCGGCAATGAATGGCGTCGTCGAAAACAATTTCATCGCGTGTAATCCTACGATTCGTACGTGCTTACGTACAATACGCAATTTTACGGCGAAGGGGTATTGTAGGTTGTAAACTCTGATAGACTTGAATAGTTGATTTTTGGCTTCTTCATGTTTGTAGCCCTTTCTGCTCTACCAGAATCACTGTTTTGATGTTGGGTAACAGACAGATCATGAAACAAATTTTTGATGAAATGCATAAAGACATGAAAGCCACGGGGCAGTTTTCAGGTTACCCTTTTCAACCCTCTTTGATAGTGAAGTCAGATCACGCAAACGCAGAATCCGTGGCGAACAGCGTTGGGCTTACTAATCTAACTTTAGCTGTTTCCTTACTTGAAGCTCTTCATCTCTTCTTTCAATCTTCCAAAGATATAAAAACTATGAATAATGTGCAACAAACTTACTGTTTTTGAAAATCTTCCAAACTCGGCGCATCAATTTTCTGGTTAAACTCTGATCTACTATCACTTCGCATTCAGGTCTTCAACTGCCTCTGTTCAGTCGATATGGATAATGGCTAAATTCTACTAGATCTAAAAAGATCTATAAAGGCTCGGCATGATTCGCTGGAAATCTCTGAAAAATACGCTGCTTTTTGGTGGAATCTCCCTCTGCCTGCTCCTGTTAAACAAGAGTCTAGTCGAAGAATATGAAGAGAAGGATAATCGTCAATATTCAAGCGACCTTGGGAAGACCACTCTTAATGATCCAGCTCCTATAT